CGGGCTCTGCTGCCAGGGAACAAGGGACAGGGCGAAACGGCATCACGTTGAGCTGGGTGGGGTTCGATGGGATATAAGGAAAAATTCCTTCTCGGAAAGGGTGGGAAAGCATCGTAACGAGTTGCCCAGGGCGGTGGAGGACTCGCGTTCTAGAGGCGTCTGTCCCGATGTGGCGCTTGCAGAGGCGGTTCCGGGGCGATCCCGCGGGGTGACGGGGACTCGGGATGAGTGGAAGGTCCCTTCCCACGTGGACGATCCCGTGATCCCGGGACTCTGTCCCGGCCCGCCCGGGGCGGGGCCGCGCAGGCGCGGGGCGGCCATGGCGACCTTCTTCGGGGAGGTGGTGGTGGCCCCGTCCCGGGCCGGGCTGGACGAGGAGGAGGAGGAGCGGGAGGAGACCCCCGAGGACCGCGAGATCCGCAGGGAGCTGGAAAAGAAAAGGTGCGGGCGGCTCCGGGCGGGGAGGGGACAGCGCTGCTGAGGGCGGGTGTCGGGACAAGGTTCTTCCCCGCAGAGGGTGGTGGGCACTGCCCAGGCTCCCCAGGGCAGTGGGCACGGCCCCAAGGCTGCCAGAGCTCCGGGAGGGTTTGGACAACGCTCTGAGGGACGGGGGGGAGTGTTGGGGTGTCCTGGGCAGGGCCGGGGGTTAGGTTTTGATGATCCTTGAGGGTCCTTCCCAGCTCGGGGTGCTCAGTGGCTGTTTCCGCAGGGAGATCGAGGTGCTGTGGAGCGGGCTGGCCCAGGAGCCCTTGGCGTGCTCCAGGTTCGTGGTGGCCATAGGGCGGAACGCGGCAGGTGGGTGTGGAACCGGCCCGGGGGGGGATCGAACGCGCTGCTGGTTCGTGTGGGGGCGAGTCTGAGGAGGCAGGAGGTGGGAGGGAGGTGTGGGCGTTCCCGGTCTCCTGCTGGAAGAGTGGTCCTTAAGGATAGAATCATGGAGCGGTTTGGGTTGGAAAAGACCTTAAACACCACCCTTACCCACAGCTCGTGGAATGGTTTGGGTTGAAGGGACCTTAAAGCTCATCCAGTGCCACCCCTGCCATGGGCAGGGACACCTTCCACCAGCCCAGGTTGCTCCAAGCCCCGTCCAACCTGACCTTGGACAATTCCAGGGATCCAGGGGCAGCCACAGCTTCTCTGGGCAACCTGGGCCAGGGCCTCCCCACCCTCACAGGGAAGAATTTCTTCCTAAAATCCCATCTAACCCTGCCCTCCTTCAGCTTAAGGCCATTCCCCCTTGTCCTGTCACTCCATGTCACACTGAAAAGTCCCTTTCCATCCCTCTTGTAAGCCCCCTTTAGGTACTGGATGTCCAGCTCCTCATTTAGGAGCAGAGTTTTAACCCAGAGCTAAACTTAGTCTGTACTTATAAAACACACTTTTTGTTCCAGCTGTTTATTCCTCCTGAAAATTGTTGTATTTTCAGGTGAAGGGCAGAAGCAAAGTATGTTTTGGGTTAGGCTTTTATTTGAGACAGCCCCTCTTTCCCTTTACCTGACTTTTGTTTGGTAAACTCTCCTGAATTATCCTTTAATTGGCAAAACTTTTCTGCTGATAGTAGTAACATGCTCAGTGCAGTTTAATCTTGTGAAACAGGGATCTGTCAAATATGGGTCACTAAGCTGTAATTTCTTTAATTTCTAATGGGCAGTGTTTGGGGGGGGGTTGTTAAACTTTTGTTTTCTTGCTCAGTCAGTCCCTTTTCCACATTCCAGTTCTAACATGCCCTCTTTTCAGGTGCTTGTTTACTCATCAGGCCTAGAGGCTTAAAACACCCTCTGCTCTTCCCACACACACTTAAACTGCAGGGTTTTTTGGTAGCTGTTTCCCTGTGGGCATGAAGAAGTTTTAAGTCTTGCTTGCATTTATGTCCCATTTAGATGGCATTTAGTTTATATCCAAGTTTGCTTGTTTGGTTTTTGATCAGGTTTTTTGGTTTTCCTTGAAAAATGGTAATAGCTGTTCTGGATCTGTCTTCTGTAGCTTTTGACAGGAATTTGATTGATGAATATATTTGCCATACTCTTTTCTTTGCTTTCTAGAACCAGTGTAATAATTCTGCTTCAGTGATTTTTATATTTAATCTGTTATATCTGTGTCAAGAGATGTTAGAGGCTTAATATTCACATCCTTGGTTTATACTAAAGGAATTGAAGTTGACTGTAATGGTATAATTCCTAAGAACACAATTTTTGATGTTGTGGATCTCTATATGTACAACTACTCTTTATCTTACAGATTTTGATACAGTGGGGTTATCAATATTGTTGATCTCTCCTGGATTTGGCCATTAAATGCATGTTGAGAAAAATGAGTTATTTTTACTTCAGGTCACAAAGGGATAATCTAATTCAGGTATTTATTTGTACAACAGACATTTTATTACTTGTAAGTTAACGATATTTATTGGGTTTTGCAGCTTTCCTGTCGTCTTTTATTCTGGATTCTGTGTGCTGGGAAGTGGTTGGAGTTGTGAAGCTGTGGAATGAGTGGTGTCGAACATCCAGCACCACAAATGTCCTCCCCACAGATTCTTTCTGTTTGTTCTACAGATTAATATCAGACCCCACAGTAAGTGACTTAACCATTTGTTCCTCTGTGTTTTAGCTCTGTTAAAAAGGGAGCAATTTCATCCAGCCAAAAAGTGTTCAGGCTGCAGGGTTCTGGATGAATCTCATACATAATCTCAAGGGTTGATGCTCACTAAAACCGTGTGAGGTTCCGCTGTGTGAAACTCAGTCCAAAGTGAAAAATCCTCATTAAAAAAAACCCAAATGACTGAACAAGCTGTTGTCTGCAGCCACATCACTTTTACACATGATTATGAGCTGTTGTTGTGCCTTTTAAACCGCTTGTTTACACCATTTTTTAATTTTTTTAAGGTTTTACTGTGCCAGTGTAGTTGCTACGTGGCTGAGGATCAACAGTTCCAGTGGCTTGAGAAGGTAAAACTGGCAAGACAACAAACTGAGTGATGAAATCTTAGGGGTGGGGATCTTCAGCTTAGTGTGAGGGCCTCTTCTCTGATACTCTGAGCATGACAGTGTTGGAAGTAACTTTTCCCAGTGGCTTTCTTTGTTTAAATATTCAACAAATGCACTGATTTACTCCCTGCAGATTCTGTGGAGTCTCCTTCCAGATGCTGCCAGTTTTCTCTGCTGTAACCTCCCAGCTCAGTGCAGTTGCATCTTTTGGACAGTTTCAGGTTTCCAAACCCTTTTTCCTGTTTGGCTTTAATTTTCCAGGGCTTATTTCAGCTACATTTCAGCTCCTGGAGGATCCTCCCTTAAAATATGATAACACAACTGCATTTGTGCAGCTGCCAAACCTGTTGGGAGAATCCTGAGGGATGGTGTCTGTTCATGGGTGTGTTCTGTGCCTTTCACAAGGAGCAAGGTGCCTCCAAAGCAGCATTTATCCCACTTTCCTGTAGATTTAATATTCCCAGTGCCTCCTCCTGGCATCATTCAGGTACAGGAAGGCTGCTGGGTCATCCAAGTCCCTCCAAATATCATCACGTTGGTTTTAATAAGATAAAAGCCGGGGGGGGTGAATGTTGTGGCTGGTGATTTTCTTGATGGATTTGGGTCACTGCTTTGCCTGAGGGAGGTGTGGCTTATTTTGTCTTGCTGTCTGTCTGCTAACCTGCCTCCCCACCTTGAAACTTCTGCTGGGCTGAAGGACAGGCAGGGATTCTAAAGCCCTTTGTGTAAGGCTGGGGCTGGGGATTAAGTCAGGCTTGGAAACCCCGAGGCCTTTTCCACACGTTCTTGCACTTGATTTAAGCTGGGATTGTGAAAGAAAGGTGGCTGTGGTTTCCTTGTCTTCCCCATTTTGTGTTTCCCCAGCTGTGTGTGGGGATGTGTGATTTCCAGTGGGGCTGTTCAGGGACAGTGTTCCTGAGTGTTTTTAGACTTCGTGGTTCTTGGTGGGTTTAACTGCGCAGCAGAAACGTTGTGCTGGTGATCTTTTGCTTGTAATGGGAATTACAGACCTGTCCTGTGTGTAAACCCCGATTACCTGAGCAGCTTCAGTCTCCAGGAGGCAGATTTTTGCCTCTGTGTGTGTTGTCTCAGAAAAGGGATCACTGAGAAATTAGGAAACGTGGGGTTTTGCAGTTGTGCATTCCAACCAGTGTTCCCAGCAAAGCAAATGGAAAATATATGGGTTTTTCATCAGTTTACTAGTACACTGATGTGAGGGGACAGGCAGCTTCCCTCCTGTGATTGGGGCATAAACAAACAGGCAAGTTTCTGTCACATTTAAAAAATTCCCTATTTCCTTCTCCTGTGTTGGTGTTTTTTTGGTGGCAAGCAATGCATCCAAGAGAATGTTTTGTACAGTGGCTGTAAAACTCTCTTCTTCGAATTTGAGGAAAACTGTGGAAAATTTAAAGTCCTCTTTCTCCATTCAGCTTGAATAGAATTAAATCTGAGTGTTTAAAATAAAGACTCTTTCAGTGTTGTAGAACATCTGGAAAGCACAGTTCCCATTTCAAATGTCCTGCAGCTTAGTGAGCTGCCTGGTTTCCTTTGGAGTCCTTTTTCTTCCCACAATCACCACGAATAAAAATAGTAAGTATTGATATATTTGCAGTGCTGAAAACCTAAAAAACCTCCAAAAAATCACTAGACTTGGTAAATATTTTAGCTG